GAGTAAATCTAAACTCCGGATGTAGTGACTTGGATTATTATCGTCATGATTACTTCTTTTAGTCTAATTTCTCTCTTTAACTGCAGTTAAAGTTATATTTGGCCTGACTTACCTGGAATGTTCAAAGCTTAGTGTCTATTTTGTACTCAGAACCTTAGTTTACTCCGTAGGCTGTTTTATTTTTTGCTTACTAACCATATGGACTTTGTATTTTAATTGTCTTTTTATCCCAAAAAAAGCTATATTTGTTAGTATAGAACTCTTAATTACCTAATAGTATCTTCCGAATCGGTAAAAGGCATTCCAACTATGTTAATCTATAATTCCTTAGGTGATTACTTAATCATACTAGCTATCAGACTATTTTGAGTGCCAGCGTAATGTGACTACATAGGGCCAATATGTATATGTATTTTTATTCTACGAGAAAATCAAGTTATTCAGTTTCAGTGCTTAAACACTCACTGAATTCTATACGATTATTCAATTAAAGGTCTAATCTAAATTCCCTATGCCTAGCTACGCCCTTTAGAATATCAAGATCTGTCCCAATCGGATTTCTCATCTTTCAGGGTAATCAAGCACACAATTGAACTAACAAACATAACATTAAGTTTAATCTTCAAAAAAATCCATGTCTTTACAAAAAATAATCATTGAAGCCTAATAATTTTAGAGTTAAAGGACCACATGTATGCTTTTTAAAGTGAAAGAACTAAATTGAGATATTGTATAGAGTTAAATGATCAAATGTATACTTTAGCAAAAAAAAAAAAAAACGTTAATACCTATTAGAGGTTGAAATAATTACAGCGAACAAGGGAATATGTGTGTGTGTGTGTATTGGCATATGATTTTTTAGAACTTTGGTGCAAAAATTAGTAAAACATATGATTGTTTCACGTCAAGCATTCCCCATTTCATAAACACGTTTGCCTTTTGTTTCCATTCCTTGCTTCTTGTCTGCTTCAGATCTATTCCATTCAATTTAAAGGATCTTAAAAACCTTATGGCGCTTTCGTTCCTTCAGGTAGTAGTTTAGTAGCTTTTTCATTAAAAACTTAATGAAATAGTATTAAATATTTTAAATTAAACCATATGAACATGCAGGTAAGAAAAAATCCGACAATGGCTATAAATATACAATGCGTCAGGAGTAAGTGAACTGTGAGCCAACTGCAAAAGAAGATATTATGTGGTACTTACGAAAATTGAGTTGTTCCCTTACAGCACTATTTTTTTTTGGTTTAATGTGTGTTTTAAAAAGAAAAGGTCAAGTTTGTTTTCTTTTTCTTTTTTCCTTTTCGGTAACATATCACGATCCTTTTCTTGGCCCCCAGTTATATATATTAACACGTAAAGAATAAAAGGAAAAGCCTATAAATGTAGACTGTGTGAAGAGCTACCAGCAAGCCATTGCCACCTTTGGTAAGCGCAATCAGTCTTTGTTTCTTTAGCTGAAATGCGTGTTTTAAATTTCTCAAACTGCAAGAATTAGTGAGATTACAGTGATGAGGAGCAAGAGGTATTACAAAAGTTAGATATGGGCATTGTGTTCAAGGCTATATATTAGTATTTGGTTAGATGTAGCGCACTTAATGATTATATAATTCTGTACCTTCAGATATAAAATGGTGACCTTAAAGAAGATAACAAAATAAAACTATTTGCATTTAAAAATAAATTTATCAATATAATTCCACTTTGATTATGTGTACTTACTTCACATCCTAGATTATCCCAAATAGACGGATTATTACGTGGTCGAGTATTATTATTCTGAATGTCAGATTAATGCTTGCTTCTTCTTTTCTTGGCCACAGATTATCGCTTACTACGTTACAGGAGGGAAGGTGTATATAGCCAAGTTCAACTGGTATGTAGTGTGTATGATTGATCTCTGTTCCTTTCAACTGAAAATAGTTGTAGTTGTGAAGAAATATTGGCCATTAATTGGTAGAAATATTATTACATTAGAGTATCACCACCATGGATCTGCAGAAACAGCTTTAATTGAGTTATGGAAGCGAGGCACAATTTTAACGACATCGTTGCAGAGCCACTCACGGAAGACAGCAGTGAAGATTGGTTCGAATAGGTTAAGAACTATCTAATATCTCGAGATCTTTGGAAAGTGACAAGCGGTAGAAGGGCCAGACCAGAGAGATATCGTGTCACAGATCTTGCCAAATGGAGAAGAAAGAATGCCGCAGCATTACATGTCATTCGTATCTCTTGTGGACCTCAAAATCATTCTCTTATAAGAAGGATCTTTGAAGCCAAACAAGCATGGGACATTCTCTATCGTACCTACAATAATACTGCACGACGCCCTTCTCCCCCAGGTCAGTGCCTTATATATTTCATTAGGTGTATATGTCGAAAAATTCTCTAGTAATTAGGGACACCACTCTCTCACAAGAGAGTCATCTCCACAAAATTAATTTGCTCAAAATATATGGTCCTTCTTTGTTTGTAAGGCTACTAACAATTCTCTCATTGCCCTCCTACTCAAAATATAATTGAGTGGTGATTACAGAGTTAACGGAGCCAGAAGGATTAGAGATGAGTAATATGCGCAAGGCCATAGCTGAAAACAACTGGTCGACTGCGAAAGCATTCATTGATCGCCATCCTAAGGTATTGAACGTAGATTTTGCGACGTCAATGGGCGAAACACCTCTTCATGTGGCTGCAAAGTTTGGGCATCTGGCCATAGTAGAGGAGTTGGTGAGATTTGTTCCAGAAGAATATCTGGAGATACGCGGTGCTTATTATGAAAATACTCCACTTGCAATAGTTGTTTCACATAGTGAACTCATCCCCGTTGCAGCATGCATGATCAACAAAAATAAAAAGGCACTTGCAATTCCAACTAAAGACAATTGGGAGATTCCTGTTACCTCAGCTTTTTGTTCTGGCCACAACAAAATGGGACGTTATCTTTATTCTGTCACTCCTTTGCAAGTCTTCAAACGAGAAAACCGCACTGTGGGGCCTCAGTTCCTCTACTTCTGTTTGGTACTTGGAGAATTAGGTAACATAACCACTTTTAGATAAATAATTTTATACACAGCATAATAACATATGTGTTTCATTTTCATTTGGGCTAAGGTATATTTTAGTCCCGAAAGTTTTCACGAGGGAACTGTGGGTATCCAAAAATATTTTTTGGGGTAATGTGGTTCCGGAAGTGACAAAATCGTAGCAATGTCGTCAAATTTCAACGGAGTTAAACGGTCAACTGTTAGTTGACCAATTTGTGTTGGGGTGGTTCTACCATATAGGATAGTACGCCACATAATAAAAATGAAATACCAAACATGTCCCTTTCTTCTTCATCCTCCGCCACACGTTCTTTAGGAGGAGACCAAAAACAAATGTAGACCTGAATATTTTTGGGCTTACCTTCATCCCTCACTTTTCAAGCTCTTGTTCTGTTTTTTTTTATTTTTTATTTTTTTAATATTTCTGGGTTTATAATCATGTTTGCTGCTTGGTTTTGAATTTGGATTTCAAAATCTATTGTGATTTTTTTGTTGATTTCAATTAATGAAGTTGGTAATTGGGGCCTTGTTATTTGGAGAGCTACTGTGAAGAGCTGAAGATACCCATAAATATCAGAATCAATCCAAACTGCCCTTGCTATGTGAAATTTTGGCCGACACTGATGCTATACCAGAGTCTCTTTGATGATCTTAAATTTTCTCTGTGACATGCTTGAGTCTCCCGTATGAATGGCATTTTGAAATACTCCAGTTAGTTGAGATTTGAGTCTCCTGAGGCAATTAAGAGCAAAGATACGAAGGTTGCTGTAGGTTGTCGAGGAGGATAGTAAGAATAACTAAGAGCAGGGGCGCGAATATCTAGAAAGAAGATCAAGAAGCCATGGAATATTGCTCTAAACTAAAATTCTCCGTGGATGCAGATGATGACGACGAAGGGTAGAGATTTGCATTTTTCTAGATTCGTTTTTCTTCTCATATTGGTTAATTGTTGATCTGGGTTTAAAGTTTGTTTATGGGACTGATGATAATGATGCAGGGGAAAACTTTCAGTGCAAAAATGTCATTTTACCCTTTTCATTTGCCCCCGTCAGTTTATACGTGTGGCCTTTTTCCATTTCTCATACTATATGATGTTGGTGCATAAATAGATATTGCCTTGAATTTGCTTCAACGATGCAAGGAGCTGCTTTTTGCTACTGACACAGACGAGGAACCAACAATTCAGAATATTGCACGCTATCTTTCTAATTCTCTGGACAGTCAACTTCCGTTCGGGAAGCGATGGTCGTATCACTGTTAGTGCACATTATTACTTTCTACTGATCTCTGTTTTTCCCTACAATTTTCTTTCTGTTGTTTGCTCATTTAAATTATATACTAGCCAAAATGGTGAATTATAATGATGAGGATAAAGATGGTGAAGATGAAGTTATTTTAACTGCCACTGGAATTCATCTACTAAGGCTCTTTGAAAATTTGGTGAACCGTTTATAAAGTGTTTCCAAAAATGATGGTGGCAAAATTCCAAAAATACAATATATGCAATTAACCCTCAATTTATTGGAAAATATTATCTCTGACTTTATTATCTTTTTTTTTTTTTTTGCAACTATTATTTCTGACTTCATGTTTCATACAAAACAATCGCTCAATTTACTGGGCGGCGGCGGCGGCAATTAATTGATACTATTTATGTAATTTACTTGTACTTTCTAGTTATTTCTTGCAATATTATTCGAAGAAGCTTATGCGTTCCATTTCTTTGATCACATTTGGGTGGAAGATATCAAAATACCATCAACCACAACCACTGGGCATTTCTGCGTAGATATTCAGCAAGAAGGCGAGAGCAACCAAGCTGGGCGATGTACAAAATTCTCTCTCACTTTAGAAGATGAAATTAATTAATATTATATAACTATTATTATAGAAAATAGATTATACAATGTAAAGTTACGTTTTTCAATTTATTCATTATACATACCAAAATCCATGTCAACAGGCCTAGGTCTATTCCATTGGCTCATCTCCAGCACCTACAATTTGTTAGGTACGTAAGTGTACCAAAAAGTTTCCCCAGAACTTAAAATTGGATGCCTTTAATATTTTAATTCTATTTGATTTACGAATGGTGCAGGAATCAAGAAAATATATGAGTTGAAGGTGCAGCATGCAAAAGCAGATGAAATTCTAAACTTAGTTTGTGAGAATCTGAGACAATTGAATGAAGTAAAGAAGAAAATGTTTGAAAAAGCACTGATATCTGTATCTGAAAAAGAGTGTTGAGTTTTTGTTGCAAGTAACGAAGGCAAACACAGAATTAATAACGCTAGTCAATTGTGGTGGGTCAGACTTGCCCATTTTCTTCCATGCTGTTTGATATCGTAGAGCTGAGATTTTCAACCTCCTCTGTGGTTTTCGCTTTAAGAATGGGGTGGCGTCAATAGCTGATGACGAGACCTCAAATACCTTGCTGCAAGTGGCAGCCCTATTGGCTCCTTCTTCCTACCCGGACTGCATCTCTGGTGCTGCATTGCAGATGCAAAGAGAGATGCACTGGTTCAAGGTTAGTTAGAAGTGAAATTTAATGCTCTTTCTTTCGATATTGTGTCTTTTATTAATTACTCATTATGTATTTATTTTCTGTAAAAATAGGTCGTCGAGAGTGTGGTGGATCATGGAGATAGGCTACTCCTAAACAAGGAAGGGTTGAGGTCTCTAGAGTATTTCCAAAGAAACCACAAAGAGCTGAGGGCTGATGGAGAAAAATGGGTGAAAAAAACAGCATCTTCTTACTCAGTTGTTGGGGCTCTAATTGTTACCATCATGTTTGCGGTAGCTATAATGGTTCCCGGAGGGAACAATCAGAATTTAGGGTACCCAATGTTTATGGAGGAGAAGTTATTTAAAGCCTTTTTAATTTCAGATGTACTTTCCTTGTTTTGTTCCACAACTTCTGTACTCACATTTTTAGGGATCCCCACGTCGTGCTATACCGATGAAGACTTCCTTTGCTCACTACCCACAAAATTGATAATAGGTCTTTCTACACTTTTTCTGTCTATTGCAACTATGATGATTGCCTTTTTAGCAACCATAATGATCATGTTGCAATATCACTCATCACATTTATGGGTTATTCTTCCTGTTCCTATACTTGTTAGTATTCCAATAACCCTCTTTGTATTATTACAATTCCGTCTTCTCGTTGAAGTATTTTGGTCTACTTATGGTCCAGGCCTCTTCAAGAAAAGGCCGGTGAGGTGGCCATGAACTTTGTACGTAATTTATTCGCATCTTGCTATATATATATATTATTTTCTATTGAATAAAAAGTTTCCTTTTGAAGCTTAATCGGTTAACAATGCAATTACTTATATTCAGAACATAAATATATATTGATGTAATTATCCCAAATTAATTAGATTAATTAATTGACAAGACTTGGCTATATATGTGCGGATGAATTATTTATTTTTAACGAGAACAAATCAGACGATGAAATGGGTCCAGCCCAAACCAAACCAAAGGCGTCACATAGGCCTAATACACTGATGGGCCCACGGTACTTTATAGTGACGGCTAAGAAAAAATTTAAAAAATGATGGAAGTCCTTCCAAAAAGTTGCTGACGGAGATAGGGCCTAACTTGTTTCCAATATTAGGTTCTATTTTACTAAGATCTATGTAAGTACGTGCTTCACATCTTATTACTTCATGTATTTTCTGTTGAATAAGAAATTTTTGATCCCCTTGAATCTTATCATGTAAAGCACCATGCATGAACATTGATAATGTTGTGACTATAGCAGGGATACATATGGGCCTATTATAGTTTGAATCCAAGTAAGGTTGAACAATTTAAATTTAAATTAATCAAAAGTTTAATTATATTCATGAGCATTTTTTTCATCAATAATAAGAAATAAAGTTAAGGTTGAGATTTTTTAAATTCAAATTTAAGAGATCAAAATCATCAATGCAATAAAACAGAAAACTTTATATTCTTTTTTAAAATATTCAATGAATTAATATCACAAAAAGTTACTATCATTCCTTGGCTCTCTTGGTGTGTGAGAGAGAGTACCCCATCAAATTAAAGCCTCAAAAATCAAGCTGCCAATGATCATTCCTTTCAAGATATCATTAATGACTGTTTTCATAAGTTTCGCATATATAGAGAATGTAAAAAGCTCTGCTAATTATCTAACTAGGTAGGGTCTTGAATTATAAGACTGTTAATAATGGGTTTTCCAAAAAAAATTAAAAATGGGTAATATGGTCATTTCAATAATCTTTAAAATCCCTATTTAGACTTATTTGATTAAAAAGGAATTTTTATTATTCAGATAACTATTTAGAGATTTTTAAATTTAACTGTCATTTTTCTATCATTTTCCCAAATTTCAATTGTGCAAAAAGCTAGAGTTCAATTTTTTTAAATTCAAATTTTTTGCCAGATTTTTTCAATTCAAATTTATGAGATTAAAATCATTAATATGTAAGATTTATTAAAATCTTCAATTAATTAATATGACTAAAAATCACAGTATGTGTGTGTGATAGAGAGAGAGACAAGATCCGCGGGATCGTATAGTCATTGCATAGTATTGGCAGACCAGAATAGCCCCTATAGTTACTTTTGCGTGGTCACTACGAAATGAGTTTGGGTGCTCATGAGGCTTATGACTACCCAATACTTATCAAATCTGGACTGTTTAAATCTGATCCAAACAATTTAGATTTATTTTTATTTTTATTTTTATTTTAAAAATAATTATTTTAATAGGTATAAAATTTAAAAATAAAAATCATCTCATAACTCTTATTATTTAAAAAAATAATTTTTTTTAAAATAATTATTTAATAACATTAAATATGGACTGTCCAGATTTAGATTGCTCATCCACTGATAAGTGCTGGAAGCTCATCAGTTGATGAGCACCAAAATCGAATCCGGTTACTATCAACGTACATCAACTGGTTCAAGCTCTCTATGGCCATTACGCGTACATGAGGGCCGCGAGCAGGTGTACGTACTAGTGTCGTGAAACTATGAGGAAAATTACAGTAAAATTTTAAGGAAAAAATAATTATTAAAAAATCACAACAACAATTTAAACAGTTTATAATAACAAGTTTTAAAATGAAAAATAATACTTTTTATAACTTATTTTGTAATTATTTTTTTTAAAATCTCATTGTTATTTTCCCGAAATTATTTCATGGGGAGCCAAGACCTTTTCTACGAGTACAACATATTCTCATCCTCTCGTTCGAAGGAGATATAACGATCTCCCCTTCATTTTAAGGAAACTGTCACTTTAATTTGGAGTTATGCATAAATACCCCAATGTTACCGGAATGAGAAAGCAAGAGAGTAGATGGAATAATAGTGAGACAAAATTGGGAGAGAAAACAATTGATCTCAACTTTTTGTTTTTGCCAGCATATGGCTAAAGAAATAAAGAATAATATAATGACATTAATCATAAGAAACTTTCTCTGATCATTTATTGGAGAGGTTACATGTTTAGAACATTCAAGATAAATAATCCTAAGAGTTAAGAGTGACGGACATTTACACATGTAATGTTTATACTCCTTCGAGTTCATAAGGTAACACATTAGTTACGCTTTTTGGCAAATGAAGGAATATTGATTAAATTATTAAATGTGTTTTAAATTAATAAAAGTTACCTATTTTACTCTTATTATGGAATGTGATAGGAAAATTCTTTCATCTCTCTTCTTCATTTAAAACTGTCTTTCTTTTTGCGATAAAAGCTAAAAATAAAAATTTATCATTAATTACTCTATCAACCTCTTAATTATATTTTGAACCAAAATTTTCTTCTAAAATACTTCTTTTAATTTGGAGAAGAAGGAATAATAAATAGAATCGATAATGTTTTATATATTAAAATCCTTATTCTTCCTCCATTTTAAAATATAAATATTTTAAAATCGAATTTATGCTTACAAATTTTTTTTTATGAAAAAAAGGAGTGTTTATTGTTAATCACCCAAAAAAAAAAACTAGAGTACACGAGCAAATAGAAAAAACCAAGAAACGTAAAGAAGACCAAAAGAAAACTCACAGTACGAGTTATCAGGAAAAAAAATTGACAAAAACAATAGAAATTATTGACTACATTACCAAATTTATCCTTAGTTAACGTGATGAATAAATTAAAGTTATTGAAGAAAATAAGGATATATCAAAATAGTATTAGTAAATACTTCTTCTTTTTTCTTTGGCCGAGTAAATACTTCTTTAAACTTCTAGAAAGACATATAAAACGCGAAAATGTTTAAGACTTACCATAATTTGAAAAAGAGGGATATTATTATGATGATTAAAATAAATACTCCTCATTTGTTGGAGGATGAAATCAAATTATACTGTCAAAAAAACTTTATATTTTCTTGAAAGCCTAAAGCAACAATCATCTTGAAACCAAACTCGACCCGAGTGAATACATATCCTCCTGCAAGCTAAGATGCTAGGAGCTGCAAATGGTCTAGAACACTGTTGGAATCTGGGAATTAGGAAAGCGGAGGCAAGTTGCGATTAGGCAGGAGCCATCAACCTTTTTCTCTAGAACCAAGCCAATAATCATTCCTTTGAAGATACCATTGATGATACCATCAAAATTTTCGATTGTTTTCATAGATTTTGCATATAGAGAATGTAAAATCTAACTAATTAAAAAGTGTCATGAAATTACTGATTTTTTTCCCTTGATCTCTGTATTGTTTACCGTGGATTGTGAACGAAGTTTTTGTTTTAATATTCATAAAAGGAAAAAAGATAACCAGCTCCCCAGAAATGACGTTAATAATTCTGGAACAGTAGGCTAGTACGGTTTGGTCATTATGAATGATAGTACATCAAGCCTTATCTTGCTCACAGTCATTAGTCAGTCACATAGCCGTGTACTCACTATTGTGTGGTCACTATCGCCGGACATTATGAGGCACTTTATGGCTGCGTGACCCATGAGAGCTGAGAGTAGGTGTACAAGTGTAGTGAAATTATTTCAAGGGGTAACAACATATTCTGATATTCTCATCCTCCCATTCACACAAGATTTAACGTGTCCCCTATGTTTCAAGATAATTGTCAGTCTATATGTACCGATTTAAGTATCGCCGACAAAACAGTTGAGCCTAGCCGGTCAGTCCATTTAAACTCATTCAAACCGAGGGTCGGGATCATGATTTGGACCTTTTAAAAGTAGGTAAAAACGTTGGTTCTATAAATTAAGCCTTATCTTGGTCACAATCATTAGTCAGCCACATGGCAGTGTACTCACTATTGTGTGATCACTGTCACCGGACATTATGAGGCACTTATGGTCAAGTGACCCATGAGGGTTGAGAGTAGGTGTACAAGTGCAGTGAAATTATTCCAAGTGGCAACATCATATTCTGATATTTTCATCCTCTCGTTCACACAAGATATAACGTGTCCCCCATGTTTCAAGATAATTGTCACTCGATTTAAGTATAGCCAATAAAACAGTTGAGCCTATCCGATCAGTCCATTTAAACTCATTCAAACCGAGGTTCAGGATCATGATTTGGACCTTTTAAAAGTAAGTAAAAAGTTTGGCTCTATAAAGTAAGCCTTATCTCGCTCACAGTCATTAGTCAGTCACATAGCCGTGTACTCACTATTGTGTGGTCACTATCGCTGGACATTATGAGGCACTTTATGGCCACGTGACCCATGAGAGCTGAGAGTAGGTGTACAAGTGTAGTGAAATTATTTCAAGGGGGAACAACATATTTTGATATTCTCATCCTCCCATTCACACAAGATATAACATGTCCCCTATGTTTCAAGATAATTGTCAGTCTATACGTATCGATTTAAGTATCACCGACAAAACAGTTGAGCCTAGACGGTCAGTCCATTTAAACTCATTCAAATCGAGGGTCGGGATCATGATTTGGACCTTTTAAAAGTAGGTAAAAACGTTGGTTCTATAAATTAA